CTTTATTTTGGCAAGAAATTTCAATGTTAATATATAATTTCACATGTGGAATTACAAAATTGCCATTGCAACATTTGGCACAAAATTTCTTGATACAATAAACAAGTCATCATTGTAAGCGTAATGTGTCACCCATGATGTCAAAAGGTAATCAAATACTAAACTAGTCTTGTGAAATTAAGAAACAATTTCACTTATGTTTTGTCAAAAATATTTAAATAATTCCCCTCGCCTAAAGGCTCAGGAAATTATAAGAATTTTGACAAAATGCAAGTGAAATTATTTTCTGATTTCACTGGTCACCATTTGATTACCCATACTTATTGCCTGCCTGGTTGGGACTTCTTCTTGATGTGAAGCTATCTTAAAACTAAAAAGGTCTGTACAAGCGCCAACTGGCTAGCTGGTGAAGAACACCAAGTCGGGTCGTTAACTATGATTATTGATTAACCTTGTAATATTACAGTGGAACCCTGCTTTTTCAAACCACCAACTGCAGAGGGATGGAAAGTTGTTGAAAAAATTGGGAAGTTAGGCTAACTTTCTCCCAGTGTTTTTTTCCAAGGGAGCAACAAATACCTTCCAATAATGTTATCATGATCAGGAGGCTCCAAAAATCAAAGGTTGAAAAAAAGTCGAAAATGTAGGTCTCAAACTACAGATATTTTTGGTTGACATGAGTTGCTGTGTTTCCCTGTTAAGGGAGTAATCTTTGTACTGTTTCAGGGTGGTTCTGGAAGGTTTGACCTCACTGTTGGTCCTAAGCAAACAATGGGAAAAGTAGTAAGTACAGCTGGAAAAAAATTAAATAGCACAATGCTTAGCATACATCAGCAAAATAACATGTCCTGCTACAAACATGTACTTTTACGTTGGAGTCAGTCATTTGCAGAATTTGTTTTCTACACTGTTCACAGCCCTCTAGTTTGTCATATTTTTATCCAATCGTTGAATGCGCTGATAGATTCACAAGAGAACTGGACGCCAACGCAAAACGGGAGACTTGACGGGGTAGGAGGTGGGGACTGCCTTTTGGCTCACTTCGCTCACCTCCCCACCCCCAACCCTGCGTGTTTTGTGCTGGCAATCACTTGACTTCACTCGCTTTTTCTTTTACCGGTTCAATAATAGAGAGGTTGTGACTAGTCTGTTTGTTTTCATGCTGTACAAGTATACAGGTATTGGGTTTAGAGTAGGTAAAAATCAAATATGCATGTAACCTGGCTACTCGTTCTGTGTAATTACATGTACAGATACATCATGACTGGATTTTCCTTCAAATAGGGGAGGGGATGGTATTGGAAGGAGAATAATATTTTCACATACATGTTCACTGTAATTCTGTTTTGTATGTATGTTCATAATCTTACATTGTACCTTGAACTTTATTTACCCCACAACGCTTGTGTACGTGTAGTTGTCATTGTTAAGGGAGGAAAAAGAACTCAGGCAAACTGTTTTTGCTCACTTTAAGGTGGAAGACGTGGTGGTGACGGTCCCCTTCCCCAAGCAAGTGTTGAATGTAAATCTTACTCCTTCAGGTAGGTGCAGAAATGATTTAAATTAATTTACCCCATCTGAAAACATGTGGATAGCCTGAAATGCCAGTCATCTCTCGCCCTCGGGAAAGGCTGAGGGCGGGAGGTGACCGACATGTGGACATTTTGTGATAGTTATTTGAATGCTACTAGCCCTATCGTAAAACGTATAGTACTCATTTCTATGACGCAGTTAACAGGCTTTTATTCTTGTCTTTTTCTCAGTTGGAACATGTTCCTTTGATCCAGTCAAGAAAGAGCTTATCTGGGATGTAAGTTCATTCGATTCCGAATTCTCTGCATTCTTAGTCAAGTGATCTGATGTAGAATAATCGTACTCTGTGAGCGTCTCTGTCAACTTTTTCCCATTTTTCGTCTACATTCTGAAGGATCCGTGTGTAGGTGGCTGTTCTTAATTCTCTTTATTATTGTCAAAAAAAAAAACGCTAATGTGTAGTACTGCGTTTTCTTCATAGATTGGTAAAATAATACCACAAAAGTTACCAAATTTGAGAGGAAATGTAAGTGCAACTTTGAACACTTTTTTGTAAGTTTAGTTGCCAAGTTCGTCAGTAGTGTAGTACAGGAATGTTTCCTTGTGAATCTTACATCAGATTATCTGTCATGACAAATACAGGAAACAAAAGTAAATGTCGATACAATATGAGGGACTGCGTCGAAGTACACTTGTGGAAATAGCTTGTTTATGGCAGATGAAGAAACCACACCAGCCAAACTAAGTCTGTTGACTACATTAAGATTACTGGAACATAGCAATATTCGACATGAATCGTTTTTGTCGTTTCAGATGTCTCTTCAGACTAGCGTACCTCCCCCTGACGAATCTTGCACTATATCTGTAAGTAAACTTCTTTTACTCGTCTTCGCTTTAGTGATGTCCGCTTATAAAATGTCACACAACAAGCGCTCTGATTGGTGGAACTATATGTTTTGGAGTTTGAGAACCTTATCTGACGTACTTGTTAATACTGACATGTATTTCGGTTTCCTTGGCAATGATGATCTGTAAGCCGCACTAATGGATGTAAGTTTAGTTTAGTCTATCAGCTCATGTGTTACAGTGGTGAACACTTCTTGAGTGCCAGTAATGTTTTAATCATGATAACTTTTAGGTCAAGTTTAAGATCTCTCAGCTGGCAGCTTCAGGCCTTAAAGTTAGCAGATTGGATATTTATGGAGAGGTAGGTAAACGTGAAGCTTAAAATGTTCAGCTTGTTTCGTGGACGATCTTGTAAACGGCTCCCTGTCTTGAACGTTGATCAGTAAATGTCGTAACATACAGTGTAGTAGTTGGTATGTGGTCCACACGGATGTTGTAGGGCTGTAGGATCCGCGCGATTGTCTCCGAAATGCTCTTGATGCAAGGTACAGTTAGTCAGTGTAGTAGCAGGTCTCGGGTTTCTTTTGGTGTCGTCTAATAATTTCAGCGATGTAGTTCAAGGCATCAAATCTGTTTCCGTCAGATATGTTGTCCGGTATGTCAAACACTAGCCTCGCTCTTGTCGTTAGTCTCATCGTGTCTTTGTGTGACGATGTTTCGTCTGGCTATTTGTCGGTATTAGTCGGTTTTGTGTACACCGTGGTTCGTAATTCGTTGTTGTCGCAGCTTACCAAGCAGTCCTAAAAAAGAGAGCTTTCCGTTTTTTTCGAGCTATTTGGTAAACTGGTTGTTGGGGTTCTTTTCGTTAAGGTGGTCGCGAAAAACGTCGATTTCGTCCTTGTGTACATTGCAGTCCTTGTGTAGCATTGATAGATAGACAGTTGATACGTCGGACACCCCAGACTTAAAAACACCATGACTGCCACTGAACGCTTATACTTGTACATGTATGTTCTTTGCTATTCATTCATTAGCTTTTCTGAGGGATTGGACGTTATTAATTGACTGTGGATTCAGTCGAAAAGGGGTCGCGCGTCACTCGTGCCTGCCACGTGCTTACCACGTGCGTCTCGGATGCTATCAGGGGTTTCATTAAGGGCCGGGCACCAGGCAAATAGACCGGTTGTGAGAACGATTTTGCCTGCCTGGTTTGACCATCTAGAGGAATGTTTTTCTTTTAAAAAATAGAAGTTCAGTTCAAACAGTTTTGCCCGCCTGTAAAAACCAGTTGCCCTCTTGCTGAAAACGTTAATGAAATCCTTGTGCTATAAAGTTGCTAAACTGAGTAACTTGGGTGTCTCACTCTTCGATCTTCCTTTCTATTTCAGAAATACAAGCCTTTCAAAGGAGTCAAATATGTTACCAAAGCAGGAAAATTTCAAATTAGAGTGTAGAAGTATATTTTAATAAAATTGCTCTGAATAGCTATTATTCTAATTGCAACGAGGTAAACTATGAAGAATGGTGACTAGTTTAGTCCAGCGAGAGATAATGAGTTCAATTGCACTGTGTAACTACTGTACTCAACTACTTGTTCTTAGAAATCATATCGCAAATCTTTTCCTAGTGCTAGAAAAAGTCATCTCCTTATCTTCAAATTTAAAATACTGTAAATACATAAAGCCTGTTTCAGTTGTTAGTTGTTGTTCCCCTATATGAATACAGAAAATTCATTTTTACTGCATCAAATCCTCGTTTTCATCACGAGGCAACACAGTGGGCGAAACGTATGCCGTAGAAAGCCTGGAACGAGAGTGAGCAAGGTTGTTTGCGTTTTGGAGGGAAATGAACAGGCTATCCTATGTTCACCCTAATAAAATTGTTCTATTGTTTTTGTTGTTGTTCCGCGCTGTTCGTACAATTCCTACATGAGCTTGAGCATCGAATCGAAAATTTGGGACGAAAATAATGGAAACAAAAACAAGGTCGCGGAAAGTATCGTTCCTCTTGTTCAATGACGGGGAAATTTACGTTAACAAAAATTCGCGTTCATTTGATGAGGCATTAATTTCCTACAAGAGATGAGAATCTCTTATTTCCTATGATAAGGTATAGTGGATTATCGTGGGTATGAACTGCTCGTGACCCGAATCCAGGAACGAGATCGGGGAAAACATAGCCGCAAGAAAACGGGTGGGTAGGGCGAGAAACCGAAACGGACCTTTCCATTTGATTTCAAACCGAAATTTCCGGCATCTTTGGCATAATGGAAAGCACCTCTTGATCTTCCATTTTTGGTGCCGCTTAAACATTGATTTGTATTTCTCCGTTCCGTGTTAAGTTTTAAGTAGTATGTGAAATTAGCTCGCCACTACTCACGAGCTATCACTGGTACTAGCTTGCAATAAAATGGATTACTGTAAAATCTAGCAATGTGGTCTACTGTATTTCATGTAGTCGCTGCCCGGTCCTATACATAGGGGAAACCGGGCGCATGCTCAGGGAACGCACAGGTGAAAACCTTCGACCCATTACGAGAGACCCGCACGGTTCAACACACCTGACGACATGGAGGTTTTGGCTCACCCCAGCGTGCTTCGCGTTGGCGATCGCTTCGCTCTCTTTTTTAGCTCATTCATGCGTGAAACGCAATGAATGAGGTTTTGTGAGGGATCAGATGTGGACGGAAGTTGTAAGACTGTGGACGGACGTTGTAGACCGTGGACGGAAGTTGTAGACTGTGAACGGAAGTAAGAGGCCGCGAACGGAAGTAATCTGCTAGATTAACAAGTGAATGATGTGTCGTAGTGGTCCTTCAATAGCGAAGGACCACTACATCTGGGGCGTCACAAGGGTATGTGCCGGTCGTAGACCCAGACTTACTTTGCATGGAAATGTGCACAAGAATATCACAGATATTCTGGTCTTGTCGATAGGCAATCTCGTTCCCTGAGTCTTCGTTCCTCTTGACCAGCGGTCGGAAAACGAGAGCTCTGGGAGCAACCATTTCAGGCATGCGCCATAGATGCAGACTGCGCAGTGAAACCGGATGGGCAGAATCACCAGAATTCGGTTATTTCAAAATGGTTCCTCCCAGAGCTCTCGTTTTCCGACCGCTGGTCAAGGGGAACGAAGACTCTGGGAACGAGATTGGTCGATAGGATGTTTGATTTCCAGTCCGTACTGCGCAGTCAGCACCCTAATGTTCATAAACACCATAACGGCTCACTCGATGGAATGCGAATCGATGTGAGAATGTTATTCGTTACGAACCATATACCTTATCTTTTAGGCCTTTCAAATTCTTTTTCCAACAGCTTCATTGATTTTAGCTGCGAAGTTGTTTCATCAAGTGATACAAGAAAGAACGAAGCATAAGAGGCATAAAGCTTCTACCGCTTCGCATCCATAATGGCGGTGGTTTTGAAACTTTGAATTTACTTCATGTAAGTATTTGCGCAATGTTTACATTTTGTGATGTCTTTACATGAAACAAAACAACAAACGCAAACAAATTCTCGAGAATGCGCTGTACGGACTAGAAATCATCTTTAACTTAAACTTGAAAAAGTTTCAAATGCTTTCATGGAAAGCTTAGTATTTAGAATTAAATTTATTAAGGTGTGATCTTATTCATTAACTAGTTACGTAAATACTTCCCATAGGATCAGCTTTTTAAATTGTATTTAAACCGAGCATTTTAGTTGGTAAAATGGGGCATTAAGGTCGACCGTTTTAGTGAACAAATAAAAGCATAATGTACAAAAGCCTACCCGGAGGAACGTGGGCGGAAGGGAAGGGAAGAGGATAGGAAACGGAAGTGACATTTTCCTTAAGTGAACCAAACTTAGGCAAGGGGAAATTTCCAAATAGATAAAAAATTAGTTTCAACTTCAGATCTGGAAATTTTCGACCCAAAATTCAGCCTCTGTATGTAACCGAGGGTCTGCAAGTTTTGATTATTCTAAATTTTTACAAACTTACTGTGCTTTATATGTATGCAATATATTTTCGGCAAAATATTGATGATACATTCCTGGTTTTCCTTTAAATTTGTCGAGGTTTTGGGGCAGTGAGAACCAAAACAACATTCATTCAAAGACGTAANCCCCCCCCCAACTCCTGTTAATTTCCTTCAAGCCCACTGCGTCCTGTGAGCGAAACCTCAGCAAGAAACGACAATTGTAAGTTCTGTAAAAAAAGACGAAGTTTTCGTACGTTTTCGAACATTTGGTTCTCGCGGGGAAAAAAATAATGGGGAGAAGGGAAAGGAAAATGTCTTCAATAACTTGAGCTGTTTCAACGTAACGGAAGTGACATTTTCTTCAATGGTCAAGTGAATCAGTGTTCTGTTTACTTCTTTATTTGCGATTTAAACCTCGAAGTCATTGAAACATTCCAAGCGAACAAAACTGCGCGGCTTGTCGTTTTCTACACTAGAAAAGTCTGTGCCCAGACGACGATCGAATAGTATCCCATGATGCAATTTTCTACGTACGTGACGCAACATCGAAGTTATCATGGATTTCAGCGTGAAATAACGTGGTT